CCCGGCTCAAGTTCCTGCTCCAGCTCTGAGGCTTCACGTCCCGGCCCCGGCTTCACGTCCCGGCCCCGGCCCCGGCTTCACGTCCCGGCCCCGGCTTCACGCCCCGGTCCTTCCTACGGTCCCCCTCCTTCCTCCCTCCCTGGTTTTGTTTTTGGGACGTCTGGGATCCGTCCCTTGAGGAGAGGGTACTGTCATGGTTTAAGTTTATTTCCTGTTTTATTTTGAAATGTGTTATCCCTGTGTCTTCTTTGGTTGTACTTCCTGTTGTCTGATTACCTGCCCTGCCCTCATCTGTCTCACCTGTGTCTCGTTAGTCTTGTATTTAGCCCTGTGTGTTCCGTCACTCCCTGTTCTGTCATTGTCATTTCTTTTTGGGCCTCATTTGTCTTTCGCCCACGTGACCGCATATTGTTTATGCTCTTTGAGTAGGAGGCACTAATGAAACAAGTACTGGAAATATGCCATAACTATATATTACTTGCACAATATATACAGCATTTTATACTTGCTTACAATTCATCTCCTCAAGGGCTATTATTATAACATATATTATATTAAACCAACCATGGATTTTTAAGGAAAATTATGGCAACCGGTGCTGAGCAAGAGGAGTTTACTTTTCAATGAAGTGAATAGAAGCCAGAACGAGTCAAAGCAAATCTTCGTCCATGAACACTTCCCTCTTGAGCTGCATTGAGCTAGTGTTAGCATTGTCCTATGTATGCGTCCATGCCTCTGACACAGTTTCTCACAGCTCTGCCAATACCTTCTTAAGTGCCAGTCTCAGTCTCCCAAACCCCTTTCTTAACCACTTATGTTGACTTAATGAACATGTAATGAATGCATATATTTTCACAAGCGCAGATTAGTTATCCCAGCATAAAGTGTTCCGATTCTTCTACTTTCCAACAGCGTCTTGGCTTAAGCGACCACACAGTAATGAGGGATATCCCCGTCACGCAGCGCACTTTATGAACCATTTCGTTCATTACAATTTTCACTCGTAACTGGCCCGGGCTTTCCCCTTTCAGAGTTGTGAGATTTGGACGATGCCACAAACTCCACCTGATCCCGGTCCTGTTTGTTTGAGCGAATGTTTCCATGGTGAGAAGTTTCCACTAAAGAACGAGTGAAGATGGAGATAAGGATGGAGTGATTTCAACAGAAAACACGTAGGATCGGAAAAATGCAGCCGTGTGTAAAAGAGAAAAAGATTGCAATACAAGACAAGAGACAGACAAGGGGCAAGGCATAGAAAAGGAGTTTAGTCAAGTGTGTGACTGATAAGATGGCAGCGATTGGAGAGGGGCTATGTAGAACAGGGAGATTAAACGAGTGGGAGGAGGAGGATAAGAAAGGTTACAAAGAAACAAACAAAAGCATGAGATTGGACTTTAACTGGATAAGTCACGCTTCATGTGCGGGAACCAATGGGGCCTTCCTTCATAAGTCAACTGGGTAGTGGTGTAAAGTGAATTCTCACCGGTTGTTTGTCTAACGAGCATTTTAAATAAGATATATTACGCTGTTGTCTGTATCGTGCTAATTTATGAGGCCCATCCACCAAAAAATACATTAGTACTGTGACGTTCGGAGGGCTTGGAATATTCCCACTGCTCTGTGCGTAGCAACAATTACATTTGTTATAGAATAAAAAGGTTCTATTATGTCTCCTTTTGTTATAAGTCCTACACACAGATTAGGGTTGTCAAAAGTTTTGGATATCAGATGTTTATCAGACTATTATCAAAACTAGATTCTCACTTCAGATGTTGATACTAAAAACAGGACAATCTTTTTTACTAAAATAGGGGCACAATAAAAAAATACTGAAAATATTTTTGTGAACCAGCATCAAATGTTTTATTGAATATGAAGTGCATTCATTAGTATTTGAAATGGTAGTATCATGACAACACAAACATAGATTAGGAAAAACAAATCATTGAAGAATGTAAAATTGTAAATGGTTGATGAGACTGAGCAGTAGCCTCTCTTCTGATCCAGTCTGACCACATTGTCAGCAGACTGCCCACATGACTGACAGCCTGACAAGAGGCATGTCTGGAGATGGTCCAATGACATGATCTGAAACCATGTCCATGGAATAATGATTGGCGGTTATGAGGCTACTGGCACCAAATGGCAACAACAGCACTGTCCTGTAGGGCAGCTGTGGTGTCTTAAAGCTGGGGTATCTGACTTTCAAAAACACAAAAATAACTAACTAAATTAAATGTAATAAACACCATCTCACTAGATCTTGTCTCCAAAACACTTGGTTATATTTCAATTAACTTGCAAGCATCTTTGACTTTGTCACTTGTTTAGATCATTATCATTTATTTATAAGATAATAAATAAATTAAAAAAAGCAAAATTAACCTTATGCATGGCTGTTATTATTTTAAAAGACTTAAAAAAGTGTGTGACAAAACATATCAAAAGCCCTCATACCCAATTTGTTTTATTGTATATATATATATGATAACAGATATTTAAAAATGATTTGGTATAGATTTGTGTTCTGTGCTTTTGTCCATATCTGTTTTGAGGTAAAGGCTTTGTGTGAAAGCTCAAGTCAAACATCTTTTATTGCTCGGTATTGGATTTCAGGATGTCAACGACTGATTACTTGGAAGACTGTGGAGAGGTGACAGATGAGCAAAGAGGATGACACGCAAAAGACAAGCTGGAGTGGAATATGTGGGATTATGGACTGTGTAATTCAATACTTGTTCAACTTTTGGAAAATACTGTTTGAGAGTTATGTCCCAAAAAACCCTCTAGCAACATTAATGAGGATGGATATAGTATAAATATTCATTGAGTTATAATGATAAATCAAGAGAAGAATTGTGCCGCAAACGGACGTATACAGTATGTTTTACAATAACCAAAACAGGCTTTTTGCTATATACTTTAATAATGTTGGAAATCATGAACACTTGAACACACAGAATTGTTGCGTTCTTTAAGTCGCACAACATTTAGAGCCTGAATAATCTAGTTAAGTATGATTCTGACAAAATGGCATAACTTGCAAATCGTCATCATAACTATTCCTTTACTGTTCTGTTGTTTTACATCGTTCTTCCCTTTTGAAGAATCATATTATTCCTAGCAAAGGAAAGGGTCTGCTCTGTTCGGCCTCACATCGCTTATCCACAAATTGAACCCGTTTCCCTTTCACCCCATGTGAAAAGCATATTTACTGTTTGTTAAAACTCAACATTCCAGCCCTATCTTCTCTGGTCGAATGTACTGTCTAAAAAGTCATAGCATTTGACCCGTTGAATCAGCCTCAGACACTATTTGCCTCAGTGGAACATATTTAAGGACCCAGGATCCGCAGTTAAGCTTTGGGGAAGTCTGGCAAGTTCTCCGTGTCTTAGACGTAGTATGGCTCTTATTAACGCTGCTTGCCATGGCAGATTGAGAAGCCTTTTGAAACCTAATATGGTCTTAAATCAGATTTATAAATGTTTAGGTGTATTATGAAAAACACACATGCCGCTCCTTTCTTGGTGAATTCCCAGTGTTTATGTGAATGGAGGTTTGGGGGCACTGTAGTTCTGTGTGTGTTAAATTAATGGGAAAATTGTGTGCGTTGTTTGTCTTGCCCTGATTCCTCAAATGCGACGGCGTTTCAATAAACAGTGGATGGTGGTGGAAGTGGATAGAAGAACATCCCAGGCCACCAGTTCATATTACAGTGTGTATACAGTGCGTGGTGCAGTTAAAACAGATTGAATGGCGGCCAGGAAACATGATAAGCTTTTAAAATGATGGAAAGAAAAACTCATTTTGGACATTTTTTCTTCACATTGTATACATGGTACCAGACATGTGCAGTTCATTGAGGGATGCTTGCATGTTTGTTTTTGCTTTTCGGTTGATGATCCTTGGGTCAATAGTGGTCATAGGCTATAGCAAAGGAAGGTTTCTCACCCATCATCTGTACTTCTTAGCAAGTTTTCCCGACGTTTCGTCCTCAACCTAGCGGACTTCTTCAGGGAATGAATTCTCGGACCGCGCGTTGGAGATTTATAACCTATGGGTGTGGTTAGCCACACCCTAATCCTGATACTAACTCATAAACAATCTACGGTCTGCTTGATGTAGATTTTAACCTCTGTGTCATCCACCGTGTGGTTGGAGGCCTTGAGGTGGAGATTAAAATTCTGGCTCGGGAGAAGAATTGGTTTGAGAGAGGAGTGAAAGAAGCCATTTTTGTGAGGAAACAAAAACCTTCTCTTAACAGAGGAGGAGGGTTAAGATTTGTTTTGCCTCGCATCTATGACGACATCCTAAAAACAACGCCCTAACTTGGGACAAGGTCAGTGACATGCTAATGAGTTAGGAGGGGTGAGACCTGCACTCCACTTGAGCATCCCAGCAGACAATAGGTCTGTGACATGCTAAGGAGTTAGGGTCGTTAGCCTCAGCAGGGTCGTTAGACCTGCTCCCTTCTACATCAAGCAGACCTGAGATTGTTTACGAGTTAGTATCAGGATTAGGGTGTGGCTAACCACACCCATAGGTTATAAATCTCCAACGCGCGGTCCGAGAATTCATTCCCTGAAGAAGTCCGCTAGGTTGAGGACGAAACGTCGGGAAAACTTGCTAAGAAGTACAGATGATGGGTGAGAAACCTTCATTTGCTTTGACTAATCCCTGTACGACTGAGAGCTTACACAAACTTGTCATAGGCTATACTTTCAGATACTATATAATATTTGGCCATAGAAAACATTTAGAAAACAATTAAAAATACCTTAGTTTCCTAATCCCTTAGCCGTATTCTCCTTATATTTTACAAATAAATAGTCTAGCTCCAGTTTTGAAATCCCTCATTGCATAAAAAACACGACAAGAATTCATGGAAAGCTATTGACATTTTGGATAAACTGACTGGGATTAATTAATTCAACTTGTTCTTGAACTGGTTTGACATGGAATATTGGTTTCAACATTTGACACATGTTTTTATTTTACAGCGACTTAAACCGGAACAATATCACAAGAATCACCAAAGTGGACTTCTCCGGCCTCAAGAACCTCAGGATTCTGTAAGTCTGTCCATCTCTGTCATTTTACCCATCTTACTTTTATTGTTGCTATTTGGAAATCTACTGATTAATAATATGATTTAATAAGTTAGATAATTGAAATAGAGGTGTCAAGAATCCGGTATATTTATAGCCGATATATACAGTATAGGGGCCCATTTTGATTATTTTTCACAAGTTTTATAGAGTGGATTTACCAGTTTCGAAGTTTTTGCTTCATACAAACAGGAAAGTCCTTAATACTTTTCCAGTGTACTTTATTCAGCTCTATAGAAATGATTCTGAATATCAAGTGAAGTCAGGTTTTTGTAGTGTCCTCTTTCCATTTTCAGTATGTGTTGTATTTATGCATGTTCTTTTTGTGAATATAAGATGAATTTATATAGGTTTTCGCAAAACATGCAAAAATGTCCACATTTTCTGAATACATTTTAGTTTTTTTATCCGTTCTCTGAGTAATAAAACCTTTTTTCTAATGATTAGTATATATAACAGATTACAGATCCATATCGGGCTATGTCTAGTGCAGTACATGCAGAGTAACTTCCTGAACAGAAATACATCTTGACCCAAACGTCTTCATCATGTTTTGGACCGGACATAATTGGATCTTGTGTCTTTACAGCTTTGGAGGAAGTTTAGTGTGATGTTTTTATGTGACCACAATCAGTCCCACATTGGTTTCTTTGAAGAGCGAGGCCAGTCTTTTCCTCTGATTAATCTAATAGAATTAGTTTTGTAAACATTCCTATCCGCTTTCACCACCTCTCACCACTGTGATTCATCAGGTTTAGGGCCCAGTTAACACGACCACAATCCAATGGGAATTCCAATGTCAGGTACAAGCTAGTCTCTTTTTAAGATGACTCTTCCTTTATTTACACCCAAATTCATTTTTACAGCCACATACTTGCCCTCCTCCACTGTCACAAAATGCTTCATGCTGGCACCATTAAGAAAACACAACATTAACCTAATAGGCCTGTATACTGTATGACTATAAGCTAAATTAGGCTGTAAAATGCAGTTTTGCTGAAGTAGTTTATCAGGGACTCCGAGTTCCAAATTACAACCCATTTACAAGGTGGAACAATGTAGCAATCTTAAAGCCATTAAGTACGACTGGAGGTTTTTAAATTAATGACATGCCTGAAATTATCAATGAAATCTGTGTTTATTCATACACCAATAAACAATTAACAAATAGAAGAGCCCTTTGCAGAAGTGGTGTATAAACCTTTATCACCTTTAATGATAATTTGTTTTTAATTAGTTCATTATCCATGATCCAAATTCCTTAACATAGACTGATTAATTTCTCCATCTCGTTTATAAGGCACAATATGGCAGCTACCCGTTGTGTCACCCTGTGCCTTTTTAATATTCTGAACCCAAAAATCTACAGTCTCACAAACTGTCGTGTCTTTTGAGCTTATTTTAGGCTTTAGAGCCAAAACCGCGCTGGATGATTGACCATTACCTGACTCAAGACAAAAACCTTTTTCGGAAACTGTCTTGTTGATTGCAGACTAAACAAAATGGCAGCCAAGGTGGAGGATTGTGGCGTATTAGCACAGCGTTCACCTTTTACACCTCCTGACGTTACGGCGGTCTGTCAGACTGGACTTTCTGTCGTTCTCAGAGGGCTCTTCTGTGTGCATGAACTGTAATAACTATAATCACTGTTGGCTCCATTTTAACCAGACCAGCAGATACAAAATATACCCAAGCAAGCAAGTGGAAAGAAAGCCAGACTTGTTTGAGAGTAGCCCATGTTTCACTCAAAATATATCACAAAAGACCCATAGTTGACTTTCCAAATAGTGAAAAACTGGGTTAAAGTTATGTAGTGTTTGTTAGCTCAATTCCTAACAACGCACAATAGAACTCTGCAATCCAATCCATCTAACGCGTTCCTCGCTCTCTAAACAGTTTGGTTCGATCACTAGTTTTGACATGCGTGTATTTTTGACCTTGTCACATCTTTAGAATAAGTTTTTCAAACAGAAAAATGAAAAAGAGAGGACCATCCTCAATAAGAGCCAAATATGTTTACAAAAGACAGCATGTGGTAGGACTGTTTGGAAACGATTGTTTTGGCTTTTATTGAACATAAAATCCCACAATACTCGTATTGAAAAAAAATTATTCAGAATTCCCAAAAAATATGTACATTTGGACCAAACTTGCGTGTCCTGCACTTACAATCTTACTCACAAAGCAATCAATCCATCCATCCATTTTCTTCCCCTTAATCCATTTCTGGGTCGGGGGGGTGGCAGTCAGAGCTGCACCCAGTCACAGAGCACCAGCCCCTCACTAATCCTCCTGCAGGTGGTGAGTCCACAGGAGCTGAGATCTTTCAGTGGGGGCTTCAGGCAAAGTGGGGTTAAGTGTCTTGCCCAAGGACACAACGACAGCAATCATCAGTGGGAGTCGTGAAGTAAGTCTTATGGTGGGCTCAAACCTACGACCTTCAGGCTCAAAGGCCAATGCTCTACCAACTGAGCCACTGTCGCCCACAAAGCCATATGAAAAAAATACAATACAAGTTTAGTAGTATATATTGTATCATGTCATATCATGACCTATAGTTATTGTGATAGGTAAGTAAGTCCTATTTATTTATGTAGCGCATTTCACATACCAAAGTCACACAAAGTGCTTAACAATGTTTTGGGAGTACCTGTATTTTCCATTCAGTCCAGTCACAGTGATGACAGAAGCGAGACGGCAAACTCACTGGCGTTCATTCACTCATTCAGACCCATTGTGTATCGTATCTCCAGACACAAGGCAATGCACACCCTTAGTATGTGGTCTGATTCGTTCACAACATTCTACTTTTAAAAGACCCACTCTGTTGGGATAAACAATGAAACAAATATAAAAAAAGCAGGGTACCTCAGCTTTAAATATTGCAAACTGCGATAATATGAAATACTGAGATAGAAATTTTGAGTAGATCTTCCACCACTGAAATACCCACGCTTGACATTTCTGGTGTTTCATGTGGTTGCTGATAAACTGCTGTGACATTTCCCTGCGTTAAATCTCCGCACTAAAACTGGCCTGGGAAACAAAGTGGCTTCTCTGGGAAAGCGAGAGACACATTTATGTACACTAACTGTTGAAAAAGGCACATCCCATGGGAAACCCCCCATTATCAATAAAACCTTGCTTCTCACCATCAACTTGAGTTAAGAAATAAATAGACTTCAGTTATGACCCACTTGGAGAAAGCAGTAGAACATGATCATACACTGGAATTCTATATGTGTGTGTTTGTGTACTAGTAATAGGAACAGTCATAATACTTTTAATGTTTTATCCACTTTCAGTCAGTCACAAATTGTATATTTACGGATAGATTCCACATGATTTTATGATTGTAACATTTAGTTGTTGAAAATCTGAATCATATTGTGTGAATAGTGCAAGTTATCCTCCAGGCTATGGGAACATTGTGTCATTCCTTACAAAAATACAAAAAACTACTTCTTGAACTTTCTTTTCAATCTATTCCTGTCATATTTTAAATCAAATTCAACTAAAGTCAGTACAAACTTCTCTTGCTAAAACACCATGAGCATCCAACACTTGTTGGACGGGAGTGTGACATCATCATGTCTTTTTAAAACCTCTTTAAATATATTTTTTACGGCAATTATTAGTTACAGTACACCGCGTGCTAGCAATCAACATCTTTGTCTCTGACTAATGGCTGATATAAAAGCAATACCTCATCCGTGCTACATGCCAATGTTGACTGCATTCACCATGTGTTTGGCTCCACATCATTATGCTTTTTCTTTCAATAAATCAGCACACTCTTCATCCCTGTTTTGGACGAATAAGCCCCAATCGTCATTCAAAGTCTTTCTACCCTAATATATAATTACCAAAGTATATATTTATATGTATTTGTTGAAGACGCTGGTTGAGGCGTGACCGGTGTTTCCTAAGCAGGAAAGTGTGGAGGCAAACACTGTGATATTAATACGAGGCAATATAACTTGAGATATAAAAATCCCCATAAAGTAAGAATATCTATCTTTATAAGTCACATGTATGTCCACGTTATGTTACTCATAAGATGTCACTCCTAACATCCGCAGACAGTTAAACATAAACATTGGCATTTGCAAAAACTCTAGCTCTTCGTCTGTCTCCTGTCCCATCTGGAAAACCTTAGATTCCCCCCATAACACGACAAGACATATAATACGTAAGTACAATAAGCATTACATTTTGAACTCTGTTATGGAGCCAATACAGAGATAACTGGGATTGGTCTTGTGCTGTTGGTTTTGGATGCGTATGCAGTGACATTCATGACATTCTGCAACCCGCTGCTCCCCGCCAGACACATCTCCCTGCTCGCTCGGCTTGTTTATGAATCCATCCTTGAGGAAACGGTCTCGTTCAATGTTTGAAATGTGTCTGTATCCTGTTGGCAGGCAACGCAAAGGCTGGAAATCAATTTGCCAGATTTTCATTCAAAATTTTCAGTATCTTTTCACTGTACCTTTCCTGACATGAAAGTATTATTATGGTCTACTTATAATCTGATGAACCGTCCTGTCTTATTTGTTTTGGATTCAGTCACCTGGAGGACAACCAAATCAGCGTTATCGAAAGAGGAGCCTTCCAAGATCTCAGACTTTTGGAGAGACTGTAAGTATACTTTGACATACAGTAACTGCATTTTCCATTTGGTTTTACAAACTGTATTATTATAGTAAATGGATAAAAGATGGACATACAGTATAATTCCAACAACTTAAAGGTGCTAAAATGTTTTAATAGTTTTTAATCATTTATAAAAGACTTATAAGAATGCTTAAGGGAATAGAAAAATCCATATTCATGAATATTTAGTTTCTATTTGAAAACACAATTGATTCCTCTAATTGCATCACATCTTTTACATCATCGTCACTATTAACCACAATTAAACAGTTGTAAATGGATCACAAGAATAACTTTTATTGGTTATTATACCATTATTAAAACGTAACATAGGAAAAAACAAATCATGTTCATAAAATCTTAATTCAATACATTCAAAACACAAAAACATTCAGAACTTGTACAATAAGCGAACATTTTCTTTGCTTTTTTCATACTCCACTTCTTGTACCTAAGACTGGGCTCACATGTTTTCTGGATGCTCTTCACTTCACAGCAGCTCTCAGAATGTGGTGGTCCTCCTCTTTGGGCTCGCGTGTTGAGTTCACATTCAGGCTCCAATCAACAGTGTCGGCGCACACACAGCTTGCACACACACACGCACGCACACACACACACACCCACACAACACACACACACACACACGCACAGCCTGCACATACACACACACACCTGCAGGTTTACTGCGTCCTGTCAGCATGCACACGCTCAGGGCTAAACACAGCATCAACATGTACACTACAGGCCGTCAATGCGATGTCTATTTGAAAATGCATATGTGGTGAGTTGCTACATTTAGAGTAAACATTTAGCAAATAAGATGACAAGATAGGACAATTTAATACATCATTATATTGATTAATTAATTATTTCGAGAAAAAAACTAATTGTCTGAATTTTCACTGTATGAAAAGGATGATGACTAATTCTTGTGGACGTATTATTTGTTCATTCTCTAAAGTTGAGGGGGTTAAAACAATGAGGAGTGTAGATCTGATCTAACCAATATTGGTTGGATTTGCATCGATCGACACTAAACACAAATGGTGGTTAGAAACACAACCATCGTACCTGCGTACTATTCACTGTGAGCGGGTGAAACTACGGCTGTAAAGTGATGAACTGTTGTTGTATCCTTAGACAAGACAACAGGCCTAGAAAGAGTCTGGTGTGTACGGCAATGATTGATGGTGGTCAGCCAACTAGATTTGTTTTTTCTGGCCAATATTTTATAGTATAGATTGATTGAAAAAGAGTGTAATTAGTGCCTTTGTAACACATTCTCAAGTTTCCACCTGGATTGACATTAACCGGCTACATAGTACATACTGTAGATGCTGGAGCACATGAGCTCAGAGCTTCAGGTTGTGTATAATCCGTATTCTATAAACTGACTTGACACTGTGGATGCAGTGAGCTGCCTCAGTGAAAGTTCTTCCTCCAGGGCACCAGCATGTGTACGGTGTTGCTCAGCAGAGATCCCACATCAGATAACAGTGAACACAACTTAGAAGGTGACAGCCCAAATTTATGTTAAATTCCTCTGCTTTGCTTGTGTGTAAGTTGAAGTCTTCGGTCACAACAGCAGAGGAACAACTGCTGCTGCTCTGTACATATCTAATGCAGCCTGTTCAGATTCTTGAGAAGAAAGTATCACTTCTATGATCATCCAAACAAGGAATCCAAGGGAAATGCTTTTGGCTTTTGTAGAGAAGCATATAAGTGTTAACTATACATGACGACTGAAGAAAGAGTAAAGTTACTACACACATCATAATTACGGAAAAGGAAGGAAACAGATCGTAGAACAAGTTTTCATAGTGATCTTTGAAAAGGACTTTTTAATCAACAACTATTTCAAAACGCTCGGCTGACACAGCGACTAATGTCTGTCGAGGTCAAGTGTCACAGATGATAAGTTCTGGTGCTGATAGTGTTAGCATGATTTACGATGCCACAATATGAGAAAAGTTGCAATACACTATTTTCAAATGGCAAATACTGGAACTAGTATCCAAACTACTATCCAAATATTTCTTTGTTCTCAAAACCGTTTTGGTAGGCATATTCTTTAATTAATTCCTGCAAAACTTTTGCAAGCTTTTTCAGACAAAAATGAAGTCGAGAAACCCACCTTTGCTCAACATTTGAGCTCTCAGCCCAACCAGACCAAGTTGCATTCCCCCCAAATGTACAGTATCTTTAATTATGAAACAAAAGTGATGTATCCCAGCTTTAAGTAGTAGTCCACTGAGCAGGAGATAAACGCCCATGTCCAAACATGAGCTAGTGTTTCTTACATCATGGGGCCTGTGTGTGTCTGAAGGAGTTTTGCATCCAGTTCAGTCTTTCCAATACTTGAAAACATAGTTTCCAAACAAAATGACTCTCTACATTATGATTGTAAGATTCACTAAGGAATTGTGTGCTCACATGACTCATACCAGCTGTAATATTAGCACATCCTGCCTGGGCCACATTCATAAAGGGGTCAGCCATTTTCACCAGTGCATGTGGATCCAGCACATGGGAGTGAAAGTCCGGTTCTGATTATCATTATCTGCGGGGGTGAAAAGGTGGGTGTCTGTGTCTTCTCTGGCTCAGATCCTACTTCATGACCCTTGACCATTCAGCCTCCTCAGTATCATTTGTCCACTTCAGTCGTGTTTTTGCTTAGCAGTTCAATAAGGGTTACTCCTACACACCTGTCCCCATCTTTCTTATGGCAATTGCTCCAGATTTCCTATTAAACAAAGGTCCAAGATAAAGTTTGCAGGAAAATTGATTTTCTCACACTTCAAACCAATGAAACGACTAAAGCTGGGATACCTAACTTTTTTGTTTGATAAATAATGCATGTTTTATGTTCCAATAAAAAGAGTCTTGTAAAGGTAAAATGTGAATAAATCAGGCCGGTGCACTTTTCTGTCTGAAAAGTGTGAGTCCAAGCTGTTTTGAGAGCAAGGAATTAGTAAGTTGAAATGTATTACCCCCTTTTTTGTGGTTTGATAATTAGGTAATCCAACTTTAATTAAATTGCATGGAGACACTGATACGTTGACAAAAAAATTAACAATATAAAATTGTTCATTGAATCTTTACAATTTCATATTGCAATGCAGCTGATTTTGCCATGTGTTTTAGAATCTATAAAGCCTAATTGACTTTTATGACAATCAAAATACGATTAAAATTAATTGTACTAGTTTACGATTACTCGACTAATAGTTGTTGCCCTACTACTGACCAAGCAATGAATCACTTTGAGTTGCATATTCCCTGCATCAGCACATCTGGCGGTTCAGGGAGGATGGGAAATCTAAAACCTTCATTCTTAACGCTGAGGTCAGAGCGGTTTGGTGATAACTTGCTTTTAACTGCTCACATCGTGGTTTCCCCTCATGTCACATCACACGGGCAAATGCAGCGATAACCTTCAGGTCGTGATCACAGACGTTCCCATCGGCCCTAACGTTAACCTCTTCACCTGTCGAGGTTTAGTGTTCTAACAGCGGAGAGAAACATGGCAGATCCAGGGGTGCTGCATGTCTCAGATCATTACCACCTCGCCCATGTCCATAAAAGGATTTCACTACACTCTATAAGGCCAAGCTTGCTGATTTTTGTTTATCATTTGTGTATAGAACAAGAGCAATGTGTGAATAGGTAAATCAGAATTACCTATTATCAGAAGTTTTTCAGGAGATAAAATTGGACTCTTTGGGATTTATGTATCCGCTTGTTCAGTCACGCACCAGTGTTTATATTTTAGGGCCACAAAGTGCTGCTTTTACAATACAGAGAGAACACAAAACATTTACTATTTTTCTCAAGTCTTAAGATGAGGAAAATTAGTCCTGCTCTGTTGTGAATGAGTATAGCACAATTCTTACAAAGTAAAACTCAAGAGAAACAATCAAGAGAGGAAGCATTAAAATAGGCATAGGTAATCACATTTAAACAAAAATAATTTAAGATAAGATGAGATAAGATAGACTTTATTGATCTCACACGGGAGAAATTTACACGTCACATCTGGCATGGATAGAATCACTCAAGAAGAAAATAATCAGTTATATGCACCGCTAAATAAAAAAAGTTTTAACTGCAATTTGAGTTGAAGCTTGTCTCACATTTACAGGAATACTCCATATCTTAAGTCCTGACTCTGGGCACCGGCAGGAGGATACTTTTTGTTATTAAGTAGTTTGTTTGAGTTAGCATGTGTAGGAATAGTGCTAAACTAATAAACTTGCCTTGCGTTTCTTGTGGACACATTTTATGCAGTATAATGGTACACAGTTCACTAACAATGGCCCAGAGAGACATCTGGGCCTGATTTTAAGATTGTTCTTCCTTTTTCCATACATCCCTTAGTTTTGTCCTGACCTTTTCTTCCTCTCCACAGTCGCCTGAACCGAAACCGTCTTCAGTTCCTCCCAGAGCTGCTCTTCCAGTCCAACCCCAAACTAGGCCGTCTGTGAGTACCTGAAGCCACACTTCCTCCACCTCTTCTTGCCTATTACTCTTTCTCATTCCAGTCTTTTGATGTCTGTTATGTGATATTACGGCAAAACACAGCCACAGTGGGTTTGACGGTTCTAATCCCGCATCGCCTGACCCACACCTAACCCTGCGCTGCTGTTTAAGGTGTGCGACTCAGAATTGTAGTGTTTTGCTTGGATATTTATACAGGAATATTGAGATTTCACCTATTCTTCTGGGTGTACTCGGAGGTCATGGCGAAGCAGCCTTCTAGTTGATGAGTCTTTTTCATTTCCCACACATTCTCTTTTTTTTACTCTATTATTTGGCCCCAAATGACCATACACCCTTTCTGCTTTCTCCCCTTCCCGCAGCCATTCCTCTTTCTACACTCCCGTTTTTTGATTCCAGCTTTTGTGTTTGGGATCCTCTGAGAGTCTTTGTCAGGTTGGGTTCAGGGGTGACACACCTTCTGGACTTTATGGCTGTTTACTTTGGGTAGCACTTAAGAACAGCACAATGTGAAACCGAGAGTGTGTTTGTTTTATTGCACTGGCCTCAAAGTGTCAGCATGTGGACCAAAAAATGGAGGTCAGACTAAAGTTAGCACAGGGGTTATGACTTTGTGTTTTCCAACGATGCAAAATAGTCACTTTTATTTCTCTGGCTTTTGGAATAAGTTTAAGTTCATAATCAATGCCTTAATTAAAATATTATCATCATTATTATTGATATTTTACTATTATTTGGTAAAGCATTATGCATGTGGTTGAAAGCTCCATGTTTTACAAATGTATTTTATTGGGCATAGGACTGTACTGTAGCTCACATGTTACAATTTGATACTGGTATAGCAATAAATAATGCAGTATTGATAGTATTTAACTTGGCCTTTAGTCAACCAAAGAAATTCTTGGTCGACCAAAAACATGGCCAGTCCATTGATTAGTTGACCAAATAGGGGGCCTTAAAATCTGTCAAAAAATATGTTTTTATTTATCAGATCTAAACGGTACTCACAAGACTTTAGGCATTAAGTAGTAAGAAAATTATTAATTAATGAAGTCTTGCTAATCGTGTGGATAGAGAGTTTGATCTGGCTTGAATAGCAAAGCAAATATTATGGCTTTTGATTTTTGCTGTTTTTCTATAGCAATCATTCTAATTCCGAAAAAAACCTTCACCCTGATATTAACTGATGAAAATAATACATCAAAGAATAGTATCACATGTCTCACTATACTGGAGGTGTGTGTTCGCAGTGTATCATATGGTTTTCTTAATTTAATAATTTTTCTGTTTTTTTTTTTCTGTTTGTTTTAATTGGTACATGGATTTTAGCGACAATTTAAACAATATACAAATTATATCATAAAACAAATACAAAGATTGCAGTTTAATAATCAGAAACTGTGAGTTCATAAATCTGGTACATTTACATCTCTGACAGAGGAATAATGTCATGTTGGACTATAGAAATGATGAGGTATGATAATGAGTATTGTTTGTTTAATTTTCAGTTTGTCTGCTTTTGCTTCGACTATTTTGTTTGTGGGATGGATTGTCATTTCAAAGCTTTCAAAACTCCCACAACTTCCTTCTTTCTTCCTTTTCTATAAGCAATACGAAACCTTTCTTTTGTGATATTATTTGAAGACGCACACTGCTCTCCATGGACACTTTTCACCATTACACAGCAATTGCATGGTATTAGTCTCAACATTCATTTTATCAGGGACATCAGGGAAAGACTGTTGGAGTAATAACAGCAGCCCATGAGCATAAATCAGCCTGTAATTCTGGTGCCACTCTCTCATTGTGAAAAGCCACAGAAAGATGAAATCTGCTCCACAGGGGGGTGCACAGTGTTGGCTCGGAGGTCAGATCGAGACAGACGGAGTGTTTCATATGTTTGCGGTGATGTGAGATGCATGACTGACGACGGCTAACTCAGCTGTTATGGCTATGAGCAAATTGTCTTGTACATAAGTGCGGCAGGATCTCACACGCAGTCAAAGAGTGGGGTTAAAAAAAGAACACACATGGAGAATATATACAGAATATAAATCTCATGCGTAATGTTTTTTTTTCTTTTTACAAATGGAATATGAATTTCCAGTGATGCAATTCAGTGTTCTGCCTTCAGTGTTTTTAGGCATACATGTTATTGGCGCGAGGTCTGTAACAAGTTTAAGGTGATGCTTCAATGGATATCTATTTTGGACCATTTTATGTTTGACCTTTTTCATAATAGATACATTTAAAACATCTTTTGGATTAAGAATCACCAGTAATGTTTGCCGGAGGAGAATAGTGAGACCAATGTGAGAGACCCCAGTTGTCTATCAAGGATTGGAATTCATTGTAACCAATCATGAACCTGTGGGGGTTGATCAAATATTGAAATCGTTGGTTTAACTTGTCTCTCACAAGATGTTCTTAAGTTGTATCATTTTAATGTTCTTTTTCTCAAATCTATTTAATATTCCCAAATTTACGTCCCTTTTGTCATCAAATAGGTAATCGATTAATTGAATAATCAAAACAATAGTTAATTACAGCCCTAATTGGCACGCAATTAAAGTATATTTAACTATGAGAGCCATCAGTGTATTTGGTACCTTATAAAGTCATAGATGTAATGAAGAATAAGCACTGTGTAATGGATCAAATATAATCAATTTAATTGTCACAATAGTATGCAAGAGATTTTTTAATCAATAGTGCTTTGAATTAAAAAGCTGGCTTGATCAATATTGCAATACATGTTTTTTTTCATTACTCTCGTCTGTATGAAAATATACACTATATTCAACATTGTCTTTCTGAATTGTAGTTTTTACCTCGATCTGGACGTAACGTAGTGAATAATCAAGTTACAGGGAAAGGTTAGCTGCAGAGTTGTCATCATGTCACCAAACACACTGTTTTTGCAGTGTAAGTATATAGGATGTTGCGTTTTGCTTGTAATGTATTTTTCCACTGTACTGTGGTTTTAGAAAGTTGGCCTTTTTGACACAGTTTTTGTAGTATGTCTTTAAAGCACCAAAATGAAAACATGGCTTACTGTACCACTCGGCTTACTGTCCCCTCAAACCTCTAATTGTTCCTGATAGGTCTGATTTATCACTGGCTCCGGTGTAGATCCCTACAGACAACTCCTTTTGAGAATGGAAAGGCCTAACTTGTTCCAAACTTAACAGTATAAATCTTGTGTTCTTTATATCCTCTGTATGCCATCAGCACAAACTAAATTATAGTGTCTGGAGTTCCCTGCTGTTTTTCTTGTTTTTTTGTTCTGCTTTTTTATGTTTTCCTCCTAATTTTTCTGTTTCTGCCCAACTCATGGCTTGACTTTCTCTTGATAATGGGAATCGCGCAGACGAGGCAATCGGGTTTTCTGATGGGCCATAATCGCAGCAGGAGGGTAAGATGGAGGAGACAGGGGCTTTTGCTGGTGGCTTTTCTGGTTTGGGGTTCGTAACCTTTTCTTCTGTCAACCTTGGTTAGGTATTAAATGATGGTAGTGCGATAGGAATTACCTCTTAACCCTCCTATTAAAGTGCTGCGGTCTGAGGTTTGGAGAGGGGAGATGCTGGACCACGTTTTGGGGGGAAAACCAGGCACAGATTGGTCTGATTTAGACTCAGTGACGGTGGGAGGAGGCAGGAGGCAGGAGGTATCAAACAGATTAATAGTTTTTTTGCTCTTGCTGTGATCAAAAGGTTTCCATTGTGAACTAATGGGACACATTGCTGACTGGACTGAGCTTCCATTTGTTGTGTGTTTGCCATAAAAGCTTTTCATCGCTTACATCTACTGTATCAGTGACAAAAACAAAAAAAGAAAACAGAAGAAGTCTTGATTGCAAAAGAATAAAAGAAAGACAAAGAAACTTTTACTCTCAAACATATTTTGTTTCATATAATACTGAGTTGGTAAATAAGGGATGGCAGCGGTTAGAAAGAAGGTTCTGGGTTTGACTCTTGGGTTGTGTAGAGTTTGCATGCTCTCTCTGTTCAGGTACCCTCTGATTTGGCCTCTAACAATTAGGCTCATACCCTATGAATATTTGACCCCGCTGAAAAAAGAATAATACACCACACTGGCGCGGTAATACATAACATGTTTGCTGTATCTATGTGTCAAATCTTATTAGGAATTTTCAAAATAGGCTTTTCAAAATCTGGTCCAATAATAATCACACCTGGTCTACCCATAAAACTGCATTGGTTGAATACAAAAGCTCTTGGTGTTCATCACACTAGTTTTGATGAGAGATGAAAAATGATTTTACACTTCCCTCTAATTGAGAAGTTAGAAAGTGCTGACAAAGATGGATAGTTTTTGGGGAGGTCAGAAGGGTAGATGAATGCCCTGTCATGGAGGATAGGACTTTTGTGGGCTCTTGAGGCGGAGGCGCTCAGTGGGGGGCTAGTCAAACACAGATACTGGAGGTGAGGGAGATGGATGGAGCAGCAGAGTCTGTGGGTTTGGGGTTTGCGGTCGTCTAACTCCTACAAACACACACCAGCCTCTTAAAGTCCAATTGATTTGCGACTTAAAAAGCGTCATCCTTAATCCCGCTCACTTGGAAGCTATAACCAGTAGCCTCACGCATCATCGAACACCACAGTCTATCTCAGGAGGTTTGTTTTGCTAAGTGGCACGTCGAGAAATTGCAATGCAAGAAGTTCTCTTGCAATTTATGTCTGTTGAATGGTCTTTCGTCTGTTGCGTGCACACATCCGACTTATTTGCTTTACTGCAAGATCGTCATGAAGCGGCGTCTTCCTCACATTATCGGCTCTAAGGTTTCAGCTGATTGGTTTGCGCTGCAAGGAAAATGACAAATGAGCGCTACATCAGAGTGGAGAGATATTTCCTGCTAACCGCTGGTGCTCGGCAGGGGCCTCTGCTGATGAATATTACATAATAGCAGAGATGGATTCTGACTGGCTACAACATTTATGAATGCACTGGATAAAAACACTGTCAC